CACCACAGTTCAAAAGCATCAGTTCTTTGGCACTTCATGGTCCAACTCTCATCTTAGTAAGTTGCTTGCATTCAAATCCTCATTTTAGGGTCAGCTTCAGGAAGATTTTGATCTAAAAGAGAACAAATGACCAAGATCTTGAAAGGCAGGTTGAGTTCACTAGACAAGAGACAAGGATGCCCTTTCCAAAGAGGGCAGCATGTCCTCAGTACAGAAAAGAGAATCAAAGCCCTATTTCCACTCAGGTATCTTTCCTCTCCTGGGGGTCAGATTTGGTTTATGGCTGGGCCCCTGCAAGATATCTACAGGAAAAGATAGTAAGCCATCAGTTGATTCTCAGCACATGAGATGAGCTGTTTCAGACAGTTGTTTCAGGCACAGTTCTGTACAGGTCAACAGAAGGTCCTAGATTCATGAAATAACACACTGCAACCCTGCACACTGCATTCATGAATCTTCAACTGAAGAGCTTCTTTGTGTCTTTTCCTTTTTTAAAATACACGTCAGGATTCAGGAATGTGAGGTTTAACCCTGAAAAGCAAGCCTTGAACAAATGGTTCCTTGAAAGCCAGCATGTAGCCTGTGCATAAATTTTATGATGTGTGAAGCACATGTTCAAGGAAGTATTTATTAGTAAGGCCATAAGTTAAATTAGAAAGGGTGGGTCATGCCTTAAATATTCCATCATTTTCCATACTGTTTATGTATCCAGACCCAAGTGTGAAATTTAAGTTTACTTTCAATCTATTCACCTGACAAATGATTTCTTCTAGGCCAGTGTGTTTTCATATGGTCCCTGGTGGTGAGGTTTTGTGGCTGGGGGAGATTGGGAAAATGCTTCCAAATTACCTTTTCAACATCAGAGTTTCTGTTCAGATATCATAGGCTCTACACATAGATCATAGAATGATCCTATTGGTTGGATTTATTAAGATGAAGTTTATTTATCCTGGAAAACTAGAGTATTTTATATTGAGGATGTTATGCTGAATTTGGAAACGGGTTAGTCACAATGCTATCCTTGAAAATTATACTTGGCTTTACCGAGTCTATCAGTGGCTCATATTAGGACACAGATTCTATGATGGACTGTGGCCCTTGGTCACTGATTTTTGCAAAGCAGCTGTCTAGGCCCACCAAAATATGAGCTACAGTTGGAACACTATAAACTTTGTAGAACTTGAAAGGTACTGTGACCAACCCCTGATAGTAAAATCCTATGAATGTGAAATTATTTATAGTACAGATTGATGTTTATATTAACAGCCTTGCTTTATCTTTAGTCTTTATGTGAATATGGTTAACTTTCCACATGTAAAGAGTAACATATTTATTGAAAGAATATAATTCATTCTCTATGAGTTAGATGAGAATATTGGATATTGTGTTTGTATGTCCATGTGTGTTTGAGAGCATGTGTGTGTTACTCTATAACAGAAAAACAACTCATGTAGAAACAAAAATTCATTAAAATATGCTATAAATATATTTCGATGTATATAGTGTGTACCCTAAGCAGTCCTTCTTGAATCCACAAAGTGTTCAAAATACAAAAGTTTTTAAAACATTTATATCTTGTGAAAGTGTTTTTTCCATCTCTATTTATTACATTTCCCTGCTACACAGTCACCAAAACTCTCTGGAAAATGATAATGGCCTTAAGTAAAACTACTGGCATGGATCACTGACTTGTATTGGCATAAATTTTTTGAAAAGAAGCTAGCTGATTTTTAAGCCTTGGTTCATTTCACAAAAGCAATGAATAGCAATGTTGTTGTAGAGTTGTGCCATGAAACCTAGCTGTAAAGTTTTTTCTGCATTGAAAGTCCTGACTGGGAGCCAAGGTTTATCTTTAAACACTCATGCTTGAACATGTCCAGACGAAGTGTTCCTAATTGTAACTTGCCCTGCTTTACTTTTCATCCAGAAAGTAGATTTTCTGTGTAAGGGATAGAGTAAGCTGTGAACATTCAGACATAGGACTTAAAAATACATGTGACAACAGTATTTCAAGGCATCAAATGCTTATTTTCTGTGTAGTTGCTAAAATTACAGACTTTGGAATTAGTCACCTGAAATTGCTTAACTAGCTCTGCAAATTGTTAGCTGCTAGACTCAGCTCTCTGTTCCCTTCTCTGTAGCATGGGAATACAAAACAATCACAGTATTCCTGTAAACAGTATTCCTATGTATATTTATTGTGGATTTTCAAAAAATAATGTATGGAGAGCACCTTGGATTGCAGCTAACTCTAGAAAGTATTCAGCAAATATCAATTGTTTTATTATGTATTTTCTTAGTCTACTATGTGCTATGCACTATACCAGACTCCTTGCATAAACTCATTGCATGGTTAACATATGATCTTCAAGGCAAATATTAGTATGGTTATTTTATTAGGGATGGAATATCAGATAAAAGACAAAGAAACAAGCTGGTAAGGGGCATTATGATGACTCAAGTCCAAGTCTCTTTAGCTCCAAGTCCTTTATTCTATTCATGTCCTATTTCATATAGTATCAATTACATGTGGCTATTTAAATTAAAATTTGTGTGTGTTTGCTCAGTTGCATCTCTTTGCTAGTCTGTGGACTGTAGTCCACCAGTATCCTCTGTCCATAGAATTTTCCAGGCAAGAATACTGGAGTGGGTTGAGATTTCCTACTCTAGGAGATCTTCCCAACCCAGGCGTCAAACCTGTGTCTCTTGTGTCTCCTGCATTGGCAGGTGGATACTTTACCATTGTGCCACCTAGGAAGCCCAAATCAAAGTTTAAGTCAGTTTAAATTAAATGAAGGAAAAAACTCAGTCCCTCAGTTCCACTATCCATATGCCAGGTCTCAATACCCACATATTGTTAGCAGCTACAGTACTGGATGGTACAGAAAGAAAATAGTTCCAGCATCTCAGAAAGTTCTACTTGACAACACTGCAGTCTGGACCATACTATCTCTCCGGGCTGGTTTTCTCTCAATAAGATGTGAAATTTTTCTTTTAAGTATTATAACAAGGCTCATCAATAAATTACTTAACCCTTTTTAATAAAGACATCACACATTGCAGTACATGACCATGTAGACCACAGCTAATCCATCTAGCAGTCTATACAGGAATGAAAAATTTGCCCTTAGCCAGATTATTACAGTGCCCAAGATCTGAGAACTCCTCAGCCATAGTTTAGTTGATCTTTCTATCCAATAATAAGAACCCATAGTGATGGGATATCCTAAAGTCAATGTGAAAATCTCATCTACCTCTAAGGTTCTGTGGACTTACAGTTTTCATTTGGGGCTCAATAAGCTTAAAGTTGTTTTCAATATTTTTTAAGATTCTAGGTATAGTCCACTTAGGTGTAAGGTTTGGAAAGAGGAGGTAGTGATTTATCATTTTTGTCTTTAACACTGGTATGTTGCCCAGGAAACTTTTCTCTTTATGGGAAGCCAAATGACTTTTCTATCCAGGTGGCCAATAAGCAGTATTTATGACATTTTTCACCTTCTTTTCACAGGCCTTTATGATGGGTATCAAATATTACAATCTGGAGACTGTAAATGCGAAGGGCAAATAGGAGTGGCAAAGCAAAAAACCATAAAATCCAATATTCAAAAGTCAAGCAGATCTGCTCTTGAATAGAACTTCTTTCATATAAATAAGTGGTACAGCGCAAGCATGCTGGGCCCATAAAAACCAGCTCTGTTTGATTTTAGAAGAAATAGCTGAGGCATGAGGGACAGACATGGGGAACTTCATGTGTTTAAAAGAATAACTGGCATCATAGAGGGAGCATTAATAAGGGATCAGAAGATGATATCTCCACAGTATCTTGAATGTACTTCAATCATAGCATCCAACAAATTGTGTGCTTTTGTTTGGTTTGTCAGCTATGAGTCTGTCTAATCCATACTGTTGTAGGTGGCTTATCTTCACTATCTTACTGCTCTTATTTATTTATTTTTATCAATTTTTGTTATAGTTACTTTACAACATATTGTGTTTTAATGGTTACCTTCCATGTCCAAATCTTCCATAGACAACGAGTTCCTAAAGACTTACTGCCTGGTGGCTAAGTCGGTAAAGAATTTGCCCACAATGCAGGAGACCCAGGTTCAATCCCTGGGTCAGGAAGATCCCTTTGAAAAGGAAATGGCAACCTACTCTAGTATTCTTGCCTGAAAAATCCCATGGACAGAAGAGCTTGGTGGGCTACAGTCCTTGGGGTCGCAGAGTCAGATACAACTTAGCAACTAAACCACTACCACCAAACACCACCATCAGGCTTATTGAAAAAATAAACCAACAAAAAATTATTGGGTAGCTAATAGAATCAAGAAAGACCAACAACATGTTTTACACCCTCCACCCCCCAAAAAAAATTATGAGTATATTCCAAATTGTTCTAATCTCATTGTTACCACTTTAATCAGCCTGCTCTGGCAAAACAACATGGCCCATCTTTTCCTCTCCAGTCAGCTTTTGCTGACTCCCATGAACAAGTTGACCCCAGAGAAAGCTTCTTATCAGTTGAAATAAGAGAAAGGAGGGGCGGTTCCTACCATGACAAACACCGCCCACCCCCCCCAACCCCCAGGGATAGGCATAAGCTGTTCTAACACATCATTCTCATTTTCTCTCTATTTGGAATTGAGTAATTTAACTTGGCTGTTAAAAAGGCACATTTCAAGGCTATTTCTAAGCAATGTCCAGACAGAGAAGCCCTAAGGATATAAGTATCAAGAACCATCCACAAGATAAACATTCTCTTGACAAAGTGCTATAGTGAACACCAGTCATGGGTTTTGCACAGTGGCAGGCAGAAAGCCTGAGTACACTGGCCTGGTTCCAGGGAAGAAGAGCTGGTAATTTGGGCATTTCTAATATGATTGAACTTTAGTCTGTTCCGTGATAGATCAAAGGTCAGCTTCAATGAACTTGTTCCTTCTCTGAAGTTTTCATTGTATGTTAAAACAGTGTTTTTAACACTGGTTTCTCCTTTTTCATAACTCACAGAGTGTCAGTACTGGGGCTCAGAGTTCCAGCTGCCTACTCTGGATTTCGAAGATGTTTTAAAAGACGATGAGCACGCATACAGGTGGCTCTCCAGCCTAAAGAAGGTTGGCATCGTGCGACTCACAGGAGCAGCTGACAAACGAGGAGAAGTTTTAAAACTCGGGAAAAGGATTGGTTTCCTTTATCTCACATTTTATGGGTGAGTCACCAAATAGTTGGTATTCTGCCATGACAGAGAGAGTTGGATATATTTTTCAGGCAGGGGACTCTTTTGATTGATGATATAAAAATGTCTACACTGTTTTGAACAGGAAGCAAGATGAGAGTCTAAAAAGTGGAATTTCTCTGAGCATGACTGGAATGACATCAGACACCAAAGATACAGTAGTTAAAGGTGGAAGATTCGTTTGCTAAGGCTACCAAAACAGAATATCACAGACTGGGTGGCTTAAACAGCTGAAGTTTATTTCCTCCCAGTTCTGAAGGCCGAAGTCCAAGATCAAGGTCTTGGCAGCTATGGGCTTCCCAGGTGATGCAATGGTAAAAAATCTACCTCCAGTGTAGGAGATGCAGCAGATTTGGGTTTGATTTCTGGGTTGGGAAGATCTCCTGGAGGAGGAAATGGCAACCTACTCTAGTATTCTTGCCTGGGAAATCCCATGGACAGGGGAGCCTGGTGGGCTAACACTCCACAGGGTCACAAAGAGTCAGACACAACTGAGTGACTGGGCACACACGCACATTGGCAGGTGTGGCTCTTGGTGAACGCTCACCTCCTGACTTGCAGTTGGCCACTTTCTCACTGTATCTTCATATGGCCTTTCCTTTGGGTATCTGCACTCTTGGTATCTCTTCCTTTTATAAAGACATCAGTCCTATTGGACTAGGGCTCCATCCTTGAGATTTCATTTAACCTGGAGCTCCCTGTCAGTCCAGTGATTAGGACTCCACACTCTTACTTTAGAGGGCCTGGATTCAATCCCTGGTCCAAAAAAATAATATTTCATTTAACCTTAATCCGTCCTTAAAGGCTCTTACTCCAAATATAGTCACATTGAAGGTCAGCACTTCATCATATGAATTTGGGGAGGACATTATTCAGTCCATAACAGGTGAAGTAGAAGACTATTTCTGCAACGTGTTTTTAAAATATTCAGCTTTACAAAAGTGAAACTTTATTAAGTTTTACCTCCCAAGAGTTGGTGCAAAATTAAGCTGGGCCCTGAGGAAGTGAAACCAGCCAGCAGATGTGTTAGATAAAACTAACGAGCAGAAAATTAAGTCTACACACTTTAGCAAGTAACAGGAAATATTATAATAGATTTTAACTTTGGAACAAGAGGCCATTTGCAAAAGAATTGCCTGGAAGGTAACATTAATTATGGATAATAAAACATTAACAACGGGAAACACTTATCTGGAAGTGGGTGTGTTCATTAGGGTAAGCCTGTCATTTGAGATGAATACACTTATTCCTGGGCTCAGAGTAGAGGGCACTAAAAGCAAAAAGGACCTCCAAAAGGCAAAGGTCGCAGGCTGGTAGCACACAGGCAGTATTCAGATGTGTTTTGTTTGGCCCACATAATGTTGAAAGAAAATGAAATTAGTCATCTCCCATCAAAAACTGGGAGAGTTTACATTAAATATGGGCCTGACTTTTCTTGAAAAATCAAATATAGCAACAACTGAGCTTAACCCCCTGCTTGCCAATAACCTGCAGGATATTAAAAAAAAAAAAGGCTGAATCCTGAAGTGAACACATTCTCACACTCCAGTTTCACACATTCTGTCCCCACTCCTGCCTCAGACCTGCAAGTCCCTGCCAGTCTTTGACTTTGCCCCTAGGTCAGCTAATCGAGGGCAAGACCTCATCTGCAGGTAATCAGAAGGTCAAAAATCTCCAATCAGACTTCTCTGGTGGTACGGGGATGAGAATCTGCCTGCCAATGTAGGGGACGCGGGTTTGATCCCTGGCCTGGGAAGATCCCACATGCCATGGAGTAACGAAGCCCATGTGCCACAGCTACTGAGCCTGCTCTCTAGAACTGAAACCATGGAGCCACGTGCTTCATCTGCTGAAGCCTGTGTGCCCCAGTGCCCGTTCTCCACAACAAAAGAAGACACTGCTGTGAGAAACTCATGCATCACAACAAAGAGTGGCCCCCGCTCACTGTAACTACAGAAAAACCCATGAACAGCAATGAAAACCCAGAGCAGCCAAAAATAAAACAAACTAAAAAGTTTTTAAAATATTCAGTTCCCAATGATTTGAACAAATTTATTCATGGCAGAAGGACTATCATGTTTAAGCTTGAATTACCTAGTCTCCATTCCTACCCCAGGAAGTTACTTTTACTATCAGCAAGTTTGTTGTACAAAATTTTTATCTGCTCTACATCTGCAAGAATTGAAGGTGCCTTTAGAGATAATTAACCAGGTCTGACCCTGCTTTGCTGCCGAGATCAGATGAGATCGGGCGCCTTCAGATGATAAAGAGTTTGCCTACAGTGTGGAAGACCCAGGCTCTATCCCTGGGTTGGGAAGATGCCCTAGAGAAGGAAATATTCTTTCCTGGAATTGCACTCCAATATTCTTGCCTGGAAAATCTCGTGGATGGCAGAGCCTGGCAGGCTACAGTCCATTGGGTCACAAAGAGTTAGACACAACAGAGTGACTTCACTTTAGAGATAACAGTAGTTGAAACAGACAAAGGAGAAAGAGTCTTGAAATTATTAAGAGCTTCGACTGTATTATTTGTTCTTTATATTTCACAGCTTTTTAAAATAGATGTTATCTCTGTGTTCACTGAAGAGGAAGCTGGGGCCCAGAAAATTAAACTATATCCCCAAGGTCCTACAGATAGTAAATAAGGAACCAAAGCTAGAATCTGGGTCTGTTCAAGCCCTGGGCTTCCTAATCTACCTCACTAGCAATAAAATATGAAAGTAGAACATGGAAAAGATGCTTTCAGGCACTGGAGGTAAACGGACCACTTCAAAACCAATCTTTTCTATGTTGTTTTACTTCATTTTTACTTGCTGACACCAGACTTTTGCATTGATGCCAACACATTGCATAATTTCATTACAGTGGCCAAATTTGGGGGCTCTGTTATGCTTGCCTAACTTCCACCCCCATCCATCACACTAAGGGTCAGATTCTTAGTCCTGATTTATGACTTGTGTTTTGTTTTGTTTGTCAAAGTCTTAATAACTCAGCCACTGATCTCATATTGAGCAATTTACTGGAATAAATGCTAAAGGTTTGTTGTCAACAAATCAGACTTCCTACTACTATTCTACCTCCTTTGTCCAAGATCGTTGCATCTGACCAAATTGTGTGTGTGCAAAGTCGTGTCCGACTCCATGCAAGTCCCCTATGGACTGTAGCCCACCAGGCTTCTCTGTCCATGGAATTCTCCAGGCAAGAATAGTGGAGTGGGTTACTGTGCCCTCCTCCAGGAGATATTCCCAACCTAGGGATCGAACCTGCATCTATTATATCCCCTGCATTGTCAGGCAGGTTTTTTACCACTAGCGCCACCTGGGAAGCTGCTGACCAAGTAGGTTGCCTACTAAATCTCCTCTTCAGCAGGTTTCTTTCCTATATCTCTCCAACTATATCACACTCCAGGACATGACTTTCTTTCTAATTTACTTCTTCTTCCACTAATGATAACCAAAATCTCTTTTATTTGTTTTTTATTTTTGGTAATTTCTAATCCCCAACTTGAAGAACTTACAGAAAACAGCTTTGCTGTTGCTGCCATTGTTGTTTTAGCTTAGATTTTGTTTGCCTATTTGCTTTGGGAAGGGGGTTGTCAACAGAATGAGAAAACTGAATGTTTTCCCTAAAGTTATTTGCCTCTTCTATATTGAAGTTAGGGTAACATGAGATTTTTAGAAAGGAGAGATATTTAGGACAATGTTTCTCAACCTAGGCTGCACAGTGAAATAGCCAATTAAAAAAAAAAATCTTCGTTCCCTTTTCCGGGGTTTTTTTTTTTTAAAACAAGACTTGGATTTGGCCTGGGTAGTAGGAATTTTAAAACTCAGCAGGTGATAATCATTTGCATCAAGGGTCTTAAGCCTCTGGTTGAGAGGAAGGGTCGTTCAAGAGAAGGCGGGTCTCAGTTGGTATAGAGCTTGGGTTCTTTACAACTTCTGAATTCTTGCAATTATGTAACTAAACAGCAGTTGTCATGTTCTTCTTGGTACTGTGGTAATGCCTGGACGTGACTTAACTTTATAACATAATCAGTAGCTGCCTTATACAAGGTCTCTCCCTTTCATATCTTTATTTCTCTACTGGCCTTAGTCTTGTTTGAAAAATAACTGGTTGGTGAGTGAACGGAAAGCATAAATGAAGGCAATAAATAATGGAGACAAGGGACTGCCAAAATTACGAGCGGGACAGAGAAAGGAAAATGGGGAATGTTAAAGGTAAACTTTGCTTTCCAGGTAGACTTTTCAAGGAGCCTGGTTTCTACTCTTACTCACATGCCAAAAACAATAATAGCTTGCTACTTCACACTTGCTTGCCTTGGGAAACTAATACCCACCTAGTACTTTTCCTTTCAAATAGGGTTACTAGTTCAGAAAATTTGAATTGCATGGGTCTAAACTGAGAATTATAGTATCTGATTTTGGGTTCTGACTGTCATCTCCATTCTTATATGATTGGCTGGATAAATAAAAATAATAGAGTCCAGAACTTTGTGTAGTCTTAGTATATAGTAGGCAAGGAATAAATATTTATTGAATAAATTCTCACCTAGGTTTAAAAGGACTGTAAAGCAGTAGATGAATGCAATAATTATTAGAGGATTTCATAATTATAAAATTATATACACCTAAATCAAAAGGGCAATAGCTTTGAGGGTAAAGTTTACATCATGTTCCAGATGTGTATTTTCTCAGATACTTGTCATTTTTTTAACTGTGCATCATCTAGGTGATATTTTTTCAGGCAGCCATGTAAAATGCTCAGTAACCTTATTGCCTTAATGATGAAATCTTTCCTGGGAGAAAAGAATAAGATTTGGTAAAGAAACTCCCATTATCAGTTTTGTCAAATATATATATATGCGGAGAAGTGTGTAAAAAGATAACATTTTCAGGAGGATTTAAAGGTTTGACTTGGAGCAACATAGTTTTTACAAAGTAAGGCCAAAAACCTCATTCCATGTCCCTGACGTCC